CGATCGGAACGTAGTATTTGAGTGGAAAATTTTCATTTGAATTATGAATAATATTCAAAATGAAAGTTCTCAAAATCAGCAAAAATGAAAGTGTGCAATTTCGATCTCTCTGAAGCAAAACTGCGAAGCTGATTGTAAGCATTATTGTTCGATGGTTGAGCGTTATTTTTAGTGAATAGTTGTGTCGTTTTGCATTGGTTTGATTTGATTGTTTGGTTGGAGTATTATCAGCAATTTTCATGCTGCTTATCAATGAACGGAGACGCTTGACGATTTTGCATATTTGTTCAGTTGATTTTTGGACAGTATCAACTGGAGCTACAGTTGTTTTTAATTGTTTGCAAATACGGTTATTTGTGATTTTGATTTTATGGTTTATGTGCGTTTTTTGGGAGTGCGATCGTAAACATTCAGCATTTGAGTTGATCACAAAGTGACTGCAATCATCTTGTGCAATTTGAGCATTAAAAAGTTTTGTGAGCAACACATTAACAATAGTTAAAATTTTTGGTGAAGTTTGAGATCACTACTGAATATGGATATATTAAAATATCAATTTATCGTCGGTGGATATAATTAATACAATATCAATAATGCGCGAGGCCCTAAACTTAGGAAATACATTCAACACATAATTCATGAATAATCAAATAATGATGATTGATCACAATTAATATCTCAGATTAATAATTATCGTCCCAGACCTGGGTTAACACGACTGTAGAATAATACGCACGAATTATGTATGACTGTTTGACTCCGATTCTTTGCTTCTGCCATAGCCTTCTTTTATACGCATTGTTCTTCATTGTCTTCTCACATTCCTGAAAGATTATATTCGTAGATAACATTCTTTGTTACATTTTNTCAGCTTTCAAATAATGCCTTTGTTTTGGCTATTAGCATACATTTCATCTAAATATGCAACAAATATGTTGCATTTCCCACATGTGCATCTTTCATATTTTGATTTACATATTTCATTCAAATGATATTTTGAAAATTCTGAAAGTGCAATGTTTACACAATAATAAGTTGACATTTTGAATTTGTAGATTTGTTCGCAGATTTTCTTGTAATTTACTGGTTATTATTCGTTTTGAGTTGTCATTAAGGTGTACTATTTCAGGTGGTTATATTAGTATCTGAAGAGGATGTAAAACTTGTGGCATTACCCAGCTTCACGCAACTATTCTCACACCGTGCAGATATTCCATTCGTTATCGTCAGTTTTTGCGATTTTCATTGAAACTTTTTTACGTTTTTACGTTTTTTTACGTTCAGTTTCGACATTCAAACTTCCGTTGTGGAATTTTGAGTGGAGTATTTTTTAGGTACGTACAACGCATGTTCGTGGACATCCAGTTTTGATGTTGTTGAATGGAGCTGGTCAAATAGTGGTGTTAAGTTTGCCGTCTTTAAGGCAGTTGGCTTGTACAGCCTTGTTTCGACAGTCGATAGAGCTTGATGATGCGTTCGTTTTATTCTCTATAACTGCTCTCGTTTACCACAACTCCCTTCGTTGATACTATCGAATCATCCTTTCCGTTTCATTTGATTATTTGATTAAATTTTGATTATTAACAAATATCTGCTGCAGCATCATAAAGATTATTCATTCATTATTCAGTCATTTTAAATCAAATGTGGTCTCAACTGTGGTCATGTTTTAGTATGTGTCAAAAGACGTCCTTCTCTGAACATGGATTAGGTGTTTATGCGATCACACCATCCGAGGTGATTACTATCAATGCATTTGCTATTGTTATTGTTACTTGTTGTTGTTATTGTTATGGTCATTGTATTGAAGGTACAAAAGTTCACAGTTTGCTCGGAATTGGCTGGTCAGGTGCAGGAGTGTATGGGTGAATTGTTTGTTCCGGTGGATATGCCCGAACCACCGAGAAGTTCATTCTTCAAAGGGGTATCGACCTTGTTCGCCGGACAGAAGGAGAGCGTAGATTTGGACTCGATTTGTGAGTTGATGTTTTGATGTTTGTTTCATTTGATCGGTCATTTAATCGTTATCGAAAGTTTATTTCAGTTGTTGAGAAGAATCCGAGCTCAACGGCTGGAAGTGGAATGCGTTCTATTGCGAAAACAATTCCTGGTCCTTCGGCAAGTCTCGATCAAGCCACATCACGAGGTATCTCAGCAGGACATGCCGCAAATATAGCATTGCAGGTTGGTGCTCTGGTGGATTTTTTTTAATTTCAGGTTTTTGATATCTCTTTCTTTGATTTCAGGTTATTTTTGAGATGTTTCTTTGACTTAGTGGAATTATTGTAATGTGTTTATAATGCTTATATATAGAAAGAGAGGTAGGTATGCTATGAATAGAATGAATTTCAACTGAAATTCATCTATTTTCTAAATGAAATAACAAAAAAACAAGTTTGAAATTGTAGCGAAGAGTAATGTGGAGAAGTTCACATCCGAATTGGATGACAATAACCACACAGGTACAGTGTACATGAGTATGAGTGTGGTGCTTTGAATGGTTCATTCAAACCAATTTTGACTCTATTCGAACCATTTTCTTTGATCGATCACCAGTTTTATTCGTCACAATCGTTATCCCAATTTTATGCTACACCTTATGTCTTTGTTTGAAACTCTTTTGATATACATATTGCATTGCAGTAGTCACTTTTCCATTGATGTCTTCTGCACACTGCAGCAATTTCTTTATCTTACCCCTCATTTCATTATTTTTTGATCGGGTTTTGGTCGGTTCAACCGGATGTTTCAACTTTTATTGATATTAGTGCGATGTTTCTGAGTATGCGTGAAATGATTGTTATTATTATTCGAGACTTGACTTGATCAGCATGAGTATTGAAGGCACTCCACGAGCGAGGTGAGAAGCTGGGCGCAACGGTGGATGCAACCGAGCGATTGAAAGATAACGCTATGAACTTATCACAACGCACTGGTAAATTAGTTGAGAAATATGAGAAGAAGAAGTGGTTCAACTTTTAGTGTCATATTATTATTATTATTGTCGTTTGAGGTTGCACAATGTTATTATTATTATTGTTTATCAATTGGTGATTCATTAACGATTGATGCATTGCTTATCATTCTGATAATAATCTAGTCTGAGTTTTGATTGGTTCGTTGTAAATCACTTTCAGTTATATCGATTTGAGATTGAGTTCGATGAATTGTTCAAGAAGTATTATTATTTTGATGTATTGCCATTGATGTGGCGATATGGAAATTGGTTAATCATTAATGTATTCGTCTCATTTAACAATATTTTCAATCCCTCCTCATCATAAATCTGATCGATTGATTAATTTATGAACACTTAATTGTTTGTGTTGTAATTTGTAATGTTTTGAGTCATTCATTTATTTATTTATTTCATATTTTGAGTTGAGTCAATTATTGTGCATTGTGTAGATGGGATGTTTGTAGTTTTCAGTTTTGGTGGTATTTATTTATTTGATGAATAATCGATTGACAGTCGTATGAAATATATTTATTGTATATTGAATTTATATGCCATATTGAATATTTATTATTAATATTGATATTATTTTATTATCATT